GTAATGGGTGGTGGGTGGGTGGTAATGGTAATAGGTAATAGGTGGGTGTGTGGTTATAGGTGGTGGATGGGTGGTGGGTGGGTGGTGGATGGGCGGTGGGTGGGTGGTAATAGGTAATAGGTGGGTGGTGGGTGGGCGGTGGGTGATGGGCGGGTGGTGGGTGGACGGTGGGTGGGTGGTGGGTGGGTGAGTGGTGGTTGGTGGTTGGTCGGTGGTATTTGGTGGGTGGGTGGCGGTTGGTGGTTGGTCGGTGGTATTTGGTGGGTGGGCTGTGGATGGATGGATGGTGGGTGGGTGGTGGGCGGATGGTAGGTGGGCGGTGGGTCGGTGGAGGGTGGGTGGTGGGTGGGCGGTGGGTGTGGGGGTGGTGGGTCGGTGGGTGGTGGCTGGCGGGTTGGTGTTGGATGGGTGGGTGGGTGGTGGATGGGTGGTGCGCGCGCCCGCCGCTGGCCCGTCCTGCGCCGCGGATTCGAGGGCGACAATGGCCCGACGACGGCGACGACGACGACGACGACGACTGCGATGATGACGATGGGGGCGGCGACGGCGACGGCGACGGCGACAGCGACGGCGGCGACGGCGACGGCGACGACTACGACGACGACGACGACGACAGCGACGACGACTTTGACGACGACGGCGACGAAAAAGACGACGACGAAAAGGATGACGACGGCGACGGCTGCGAGGGGTTCGCCGTCGGGCCCAGGGGGGGGGCACGAGAGCTCCCCTGTCGGAGCCTTGTCGATGGCTGCGTTGGTCCAGGGGGGGGCACGAGATGCCCCCTCTGGCCCTCTGGGGCCCTTCTGCTTTTTTTTGTCTCTCTTTCTCTATCTCTCTTCTGTGCTTGCTCTGGCCGTGTGGCCCTCTGGGTCCAGGAGGGGCTGCGAGAAGCCCCCTCTGGCCCTCTGGGGGGCTCTTCTGCTATTCTGTTTTTCTGCTCTTATGCTATTCTGCTATTATGCTATTCTTCTATTGTGCATGCATTGTATCGTGTGTGCGCGCGTGTGTGCGTGCACACTTTAATTTTATAGTAGTTGGTGTTGTTTGTGTGCGTGTGTGTGTCTGTGTCTGTGTGTGTGTGCGCGCTCGTGTGTGCACTATCATGAGTACACGGGGTATTATTACACGGGATACTTTATTGTTCTGGTGTTTTACCCCGTGTAATGGTACAATATGTAGATGTGGTTTGACACGTGCGTTGGCGTTGCCTTTTACTTGCCAATGTATATGCGTGTTTTCACTTAACGGCGCGCCGTGCTGTGGCTTAGGGAAACCGCACTTTCCGAACGCAGCCGCCCTCCATCCGCATAGCTGTTCCCATGTGTTTTGTATACTATACGTGTCGGCGGGTACTCGGTCATATTTGCGTGTCGTAGTGCAGCGTGCGTGTCCTGGCATGCACGTGCTACTTGCAGCGCGTCATGTGGATTGTGGCAATTGCCGTGTAAAGGTGTTACTAACAGAACACCTTTGCGCGGCAATTGTGGCGCGTGAGGTTTGTGCTGGAATGGGTGTAAACATGTTGACGCGTGTAATTCAGGAGACATATATCATAATGAATATGTTGGGTTTGTCGGAGGAGGACGGAGGAGGTGGAGGACGGAGGAGGTGGAGGACGGGGGAGGTGGAGGACGGCGGTGGAGGACGGAGGAGGTGGAGGGCGGGGGAGGTGGAGGACGGCGGTGGAGGCCAGCCACTGGACGGGAGAGGTGGAGGACGCGGACGGAGGCGGTCGGAGGGTGGGTGACGTGGACGAGGAGGCCGATGAGGAATGAGGAGCAGGAATATGAGGAGGAGGGGGAGGAGGAGGAGGAGGGGGAGGAGGAAGTAGAAGGAGTGACATGGGAGGGCGAGGACTTGATGTTTTTGATTCCCTGGAAGGTGGAGCCCATCGCCAACAGGCCGTTTTCCTCGGCGGCGTCCGCCGCGGCGTCCTCGTCGGCGGGGCCTGCGCGGCCTGGCGGGGCTCGGAGGACTGCGGCCGCTATCCAGCAGGCGGCGACGGCCGAGGTGCAGGAGAAGACCGTGGACTTCGCGGTGTTGGTGCTGCAGAGGGACCCGTCGGCATGCGAGGAGTGTTGGTTCATCAAGACCGTGCTCTACCCCAAGGCCTCGTGGAAAGAGTTCCTGGACCAGATCGGCACAGACGTCGTCGTGCAGGGTCGCGTGGCCGACGCGAGGCGCGTCAAGCGGGGGGCCTCAAAGATGTTCGACGAGGGGGAGGTCACCCACGGGCGTGTGACAGCAGTTGACGTTGAGCGTCCCTTCATGATCATGAATGAGAAAGAGTTGTCCAAAGAGGTCGAACTAAAAAAATCCCTAAGAAGAACCTCGACTTGTTGCCGAAGTCCGCGTGGCCCAAGGAGGACGGCTCGGGGGAGTACGAGGTGATCTACTGGTTCCCAGACACAGAGAAGTTTCGCAAGGCCACTGTGAGGCAGACGATGTACGTCTGCAGCGACACTACGATCATGAGCCCGAGCAGCCAGGTGAGCCCTTTTCAAGCAGATGAGCAGTTCTGGCAGATGGTCAGCAACAAAATACAGAACCAGTGCGCTGACTCCATCAACAGGCAGCAGAATTGCCCTGGCGGGCACGGCTTGCTGTCCTTGGCCGATTTCAAGATGAAGGCGAATCCCGATGCTGCTCGTGCCGCTCCTGCCTCCTCGAGCCTTCCTGCTGGCCGTAAGGCATATCCGCCAGTACCTACGATGGCTCCTGCGGCGCCTCATGTCATCAACGTGCCAGAAGAGACGCAGGAGGCAAGTGCGACGGCGTTGGACGACGACACGGAACCGCAAGATTCTCCCGACCGCGGATCTGGGGCTGCTGCTGCCGCCGCCGACGAGTGGGAGATGCTGTCGGCCAGGGGCGGTAGCCCAAAGCGGACGCTGCCGGCCGAGATGACTACCCCCAGGATTAGCAGGCTCAGGAGCTCTTTCGACTTGGAGGGGGGTGACGGCAGCCCTCCCGACGGGAGGCAGGTCGACGACGCCTCGTCCTCCTTCCAGGGAGATGATGAGATGAGTTCACCAGGACTCTTGGGCCAAATGGGGGAGGATGGCGGTAGGAGGACTCAAGGGTAGTAGGGCATATGATGAGTAAGAGCATGGTGAGGATGAGGATGGTGATGAGGATGATGAGGACGAGGATAGTGAGGATGATGAGGATGTTGATGATGAAGATGATGATGCTGATGATGAGGATGATGAGGATTATGATGATGATGATGAGGATTGGGATGATGAGTAATATCATGACTAGGATGGTGAGGATGATGAAGATGATGATGATGAGGATGGCGAGGGTGAGGATGGTGAGGATGAGGATGGTGATGAGGGCGATGAGGATGGTGAGGATGATGAGGATGATGATGATGATGATGATGAGATGATGATGATGAGGATGATCATGAGGATGATGATGAGGATGATGATGAGGATGATGAGTAAGATGATGATGGGGATGATGAGTGAGGGCATGATGAGGATGAGGATGAGGATGATGAGGATGAGGATGATGATGAGGATGATGATGATTAGTAAGAGCATGCCTTGTACGGTGCAAACTAGCAGGGGGAAGGCGGTGGGACAGGAGGTGGAGAAAGGTTTAATCCGATCGAGGTCAGTTCATCCGAGCTCGGGCTCAGTTGGGTTGTCCGGCGGTAATGACACACATCGGACGTGGTGGGCAGACTGGGCCCGAAACGTTTCTAGGATTGTGGGAACAGGTTGTGGGTATGCTATAGGTGTACACATTCCTCTAGGACAAGATCCAGTCGACGTTTGGTCCAGGCGCGTGGGGCTGCTGGACGTGATCAGCAAGAAGGTCGACGGGAGGACGGTCTCGGGGATGGGCCGCGCGGCGGCTCGACTCCAGAGGCAAGATGTCACCAGAGATGCAGGCAATCGGTTGAAGAACTACCACGCTGTGGTTGTCCACGCGCAGGCGCTCGTAGATACCGAGATCGCCGCCAGCAACGTGACGGTCGAGGACATCCAGAAGCACATCTCGGCCATCGCAGCACACGACCTTGTTTTTCAGCCACCCCTGAGCGTGCTGCTGGCGGTCGTTCTCAAGACGGCCATAGGCGCGTGGCAGAGTGATAACATCGAGGGCTTCCTGAAGGTGACGTCTTTCTGGAACGACCCCGACGCCATGCTCTCGGAGGGCCCCCCTAGCGATCTCAAGACCCTCAGGCTGGCCAGCGTGGGTGACATGCGCTCCCAGGCCACGTTCTACCAGGAGCGCATCGTGAAGGACATCATTGTCCCGAGCATCAACGCTGGCGCCGAGAGCCATGAGAAACTCGTGAGCTGGGCGAAGGGGGCTCTGGCATCGATCTCGGGCTGCGATTGGCTGGTGATGGACGAGGCGGCGGCCCGCGTCGTGAAGGAGCTCCGCACCAGCGCTCAGGGCATCTCCATGCTCGCGGAGGTGACCATCAGCAAGCAGCTCATGGAGCTTTGGGTGGGGCTTAACCAACTCACCAGGTCACCAGGTTGAGGGGGGAGGGAGGGCTCTGGACCAGGTCACCAGGTCACCAGGTCGCCAGGTTGAGGGAGGAGGGCTCACCAGGTCACCAGGTCACCTGAACTGTAAGGCGTGCTCTGGGCCCAAGTCGGGCCCGTTGGCGGGCCCAGAATGGGTCCAGCCCCTCTGGCGTGCCAGAGGGGCTGAACCCATTTCGTCGTCGTCGTGGCCCTCGTCGTCGTCGTCGTCGTCTTCCGTCGTCGTCGTGGTGGTCGTCGCCGTCGTCACGTGAAAAACATATTCGTCGTCGTCGTCGTCGACGTCGTCGCCGTCGCCGTCGTCGTCGTCGTCGTCGTCGCCGTCGTCGCGTGAACAACTCATTCGGGCACCGCTCGAATGGGCCCCCCATGCGCTGGCATGAACGCCAGACGAAGACCCTTCCCCTCCACATTATTTTACGTCACCATGCCCTCCCCAGTATCTTTCTGGGGAGGGCGTGGACCGCCTGTAATCCAGTTTTGCAGTGTTCCAGCTCGTGCGTTGGACCCCCACCCATGAGACCTCGCTGGCAACGCTTCAGAAGGCCAGCAAGGGCATCTCCAAGAACATCGTGACTAAGATCGGCTGCGCCCTCGACAAGTCAGATCATTGGCATGAGCTGATGGACAACGTGATGCTGATGGGTCAATTCATTGACGACCACGGTGACAAGATCAGCCAGATGGAGAAGGACCTCAGCCAGTTTCAGTGTGGACATGATGGCGCTACGGACGCCCTCACATGCATGATGGCGCAGCTGGGCAAGTGGTCGCAGATTGCACCTTTCCCGACATGCTTGGACGGCGTCTCTGATAAGCTGGACGTCGCCGTGAGAGGTCGCGTCAAGGCCGTATTGGGGAACTCTGCTACCACCAGCGTGCAATTCAACAACGTGCAGAAGATGATTGGCGAGGCTTCCCTGGTGTGGCCTAGCAACGGAGATTACGTAGTGTTTCAAGAGGAGGTCGCCTTAAGAATCCGTGGTATTTCAAGCTCTGAGAAGGTGGCAGAAGTGACCGCCTCAATCGATGCCATCATCAATGTGCCATTTGTGAAGGACTTATCCGTTGAGGACGCAGTGACGGGTGCGACGGCGGAGGGCGGCATTTCTGTTTTGAAACCTTTGATCGTGAAGTTGACGGCCTCCGTGGAGGGGCTCGGGGCGGTCAGCGAAGTCCCAGATGAGATCAAGCAGAAGATGTCGGGTTTCAAGCCGTTCCTGCTGGCCCTCCTCGAGGCTACAATTGGCGGCGACGGCTTTAACGAGGTGCAGGTCTGCGTCGATAAGGTTTCCACTTCGAGAGCTTTTGATCAGGTGGTCAATTGGGCAAAAGTCAACCAGCTGTACCAAGCTTTGCACTCCGTGATCCTCAAGCACGGGGCCTTCGTGCAGACGGGCGTTGACGGCAATGACCCAGATACGACAACCCTTGCAGTTTTCGATGCTATGTTGGCTCTTGAGCGCGCTCGCTTGACGCTCGATCGGACTTCTAAGGACCTGCCCAAGAATGCGGTATCGGACAAACTATTCAAGGTGGCCCACGCGTACGTCAACGACATGCAGATTTTGGTCCAGAAGGGCCACGAATATCGGATTCAGAGTTTCACAGATAAGATCAATGAGAGGTTGTGCATCTTTGGTCCTACGTCCAAGGGCGGCGACGGCGACCTCCCATGGTACGACGGGCTTGGCAATCCCCCTCTGGAGGAGCTGCTGGAGAAGGCCGCGGAGCTGCTCCCCCTCAAGAAGATGTCGGCCCACGTGGCTACCTACAAGCAGCTTGAGAAGGAGACTTGTGGGGTAGAAGTGGCGGGGTCGGTAATGTCGGGACTGGAACGATTTTAAAACGTTGTTGCCCCGATCGTTTGGTCAAGCTGTTGACGTAACTACGGGGAACCGTAGGGCCCGTCACACAATCCATGCTTACAGAATGGCTACCTGACATATCGACCCACTGCCATGATATGCTGGTTTTTGTTTTCGCCTACCCGTGAGGAGAAGGCCACGCTTCTGGATGCTTGCAAGGCTGCTGGCAACATGCATGCGAGTGACCTCCCGATCTTCGAGACGATCGATACGACCCTGCACCACGCCAAAGTTTGCAAGTGTGAGGCGTTGCTTCTCACGGCCATGAGGACCGAGAAGGATCAGACCCAGCTCCCGAAGAAGATCAGGGCAGAGCTGCTGGAGCTGCGCCAGTGGCTCAACCCGCTGCAGAAGAAGTGGGAGGATGAGATCTGGGACGAGCTGGTGCCGCACGTTGTGCAGATCATCGAGGGCCCCTAGGAGATATATGATATGATTGATGGTGGTAGTGCTGGAGTTCGCCAGCCTTTTCGGGCAGGCGCCGAGGCCGCCTGCTTCCGCCTGCGGCCCGATTGTCATTCATCGTGGGGCCGTTGGTCCAGCCGCTTGGGCTCAGACCACGCTGAGTAATGAGAGAGAATTGCTAACGTTTGTTATCTAACAGTAGAAACACAACACTGATAAGCAGCAACATCTCACATTACAGAGTTTAGGCTTTTCGGCGCTGCGATCGGCCTTGGGGCTGGAGATTCGAGTGCCCTCCCAGCCCCCAGAGAGCCCGTTCCTGACTGCAGCGCCCGCTCTGCTGGCCCGATCGCGATGGCAGTGACAGGGGAGGATGCCCCGCGGTGTGCGCACGAGGTGAAAACACCAATATATCATAAGCGCTTTCGCGCTCGTGCCGCCCCCCCCCGCAGACTCGGCAAGACACAGTAAGCGCGCAACCCTAGCACTTAAGAGTAAACGAAGGTTGACAACCAACTGGCTCAGGTCGAAGTTGTTTGGCTCAAGCTTGCCCGTGCATTTCGGCTTAAGCTCCTCCTGAATGCTGCACTTGCACCGTCGTGCGCGCGCCGCTCGGCGCGCGCGCAAACGCCCGCAACATGTGTTGTTGGGCGTTCTGGCGTCGCGCCCGTGCGGCAGTTTGCGTGCAGCACGCGAGCTTAGACCAACAACAGTCTTTGTGCGACCAAGGGGCCCCGCGGGCCCCATTGATGAGGGGCGCTGTGGGTTGGGCCGTTCGCGCGCGCGGCGGGTTGTTTGAGCTCCGTTATGGGTGCTCGCATTGTTTTGCGAGGCGCTGTTGCTGGGGCGGCGGCCGCGCGATGACTCGCGCCAGTCTTGGCCATCAGCGCTGTTTTCCAGTGCTGCGCCCGCCAATGGTTTGGGGCGCCTGCGCGCGCTAGTCGCGCCGACGTTGGCGTGGCGGATATCTGTATTGTACGCGTGTCGACGGCACGTCATCAGAACAGGCCGCTCGCCGCGCGACGGCGCGATGGTCGGTCCGCCGTTGTTTTGGCGGCGGGCGGCGGCGTAACTGTGTAAATGTTTGGCAATTGTGTGCCTGCGTGGCGTTGCCAAGTCATGTCGTTGCGCGGCCGCGATTCGGCGTGGTCTGCGGGTGTTTGCGCCCTCTGGGAATGTGCCATGCTTGTTACATTGCGCGTGCCAGCCTGCTGCTCTGCGGGTCGTTCGACCCTTGCTTTGTTATCGCGCGGGCATCCAAGCTTTTTCTTGCAACGCTGCGAATCGCAATTTGCTTTGACAAGTTAAATTTGTGGTCACTTTCAACGAAGTCGAAGGGGTGCCCGCCATAGTTACTTTAGAGCTACTTTATTTTTTTTTGTAGTTGATCAGCTGTAGAGGATCGGTTCATACACAAGATTAGGGGCGATGAGGAAGAGAGGTGAGGATTAGGGTGAAGGAGGGATAGATGAGGGATGAGCGAAGGAGGGATGAGGGAGGGAGGGCGGAAGGATGAGGGATGAGCGATGAAGAAAAGTGGGGGTACCAGGGATGAGGGAAGACGGAGGGAGGAGGAGGAGGAGGAGGAGGAGGAGAAGGAGGAGGAGGAGGAGGAGGAGGGAGGAGGAGGAGGAGGAGGAGGAGGAATCGTCAGCTGAAACGGCCCAGAAGAACCACCTGTACTTGCGACAAGCCGTGGAAGTGCTACTGAGCAGAAGGGATGTCTCGGGAAAACGTGCCAAGCCAAATCGGATCACCTCAAGTGCGGACATCTCTGAGCCCAGAGTTGGAGGGATGAGGGAAGGAGGGATGAGAACAAACAACAGGATGACTGATGAGAAAAAGAAGGAGGGATCAAGGACCCGTCGGGCGGGCGGACCCTACCAGGGGGCTCGGGTCGGTCGGGCGGGACCCTAATTGGCAAGTCGGGTAGGGCGGGCGGGAAATTAACAAATTGCGCATCATCGAGCTGGCACGCGAGTACCCTAACGGGAGGGTCGGGTCGGGCGGGCGGGACATTAATGTATGGCGCATCATCGAGGTGGGACGCGAGTATCCGAACGGGCGGGCGGGTCGGGCGGGCGGGCGGGCCCTAACGGGCGGGCCGGGTCAAGTCGGGCGGACGGACCCTAACGGGCGGGTCGGGTCGGGTCGGGCGGGCGGGACATTAGAGTTTGTATACCTATACGACCACCCTTCGGGTGATAAGGAGGTTCGGGGGGGGAACCAACGTCTCACTCGATCGGTCTCACTATCGATCTCAGTATCGATCTCACTATCGGTCTCAATCGATCGATCTCACTCGATCGATCTCACAATCGGTCTCACTCGATCTATCTCATTCGATCGATCTCACAATAGATCTCACAATCGATCTCACAATCGATCACACAATCGATCTCACATTCGGTCGATCTCACTATCGATATCACAATCGCTCTCACAATCAACGTCATCATCATCATCATCATCAACATCATCAGCAACAACATCATCACCAACATCGTCATCATCATGAGGGCACCGTCATCAGCATCACCACAAACATCATCATCAACGTCAGCATCATCATCATCGGGACAACATCATCATCATCACCATCATCATATCGTCATCAACATCAACATCATCATCATCATCATCATCATCGGGACACAGTCATCGTCATCATCAGCAGCATCATCAGAATCATCATCATAATCGGGACACCATCATGATCACCATCGTTCTCATCATCAACAGTATCATCAACATCGTCATCATCCTCGGGACACCATCATCATCATGATCATCGCATCATCATCGACATCATCATCATCAACAACATCATCATCATTGGGGAACCATCATCATCATGAGCAACATCATCATCAACATCGTCATTATCATTATTATCATCATCGGGACACCATCAGCATCACCATCATCATCACCATCATCATCATCATCAGCATCATCATCGGGACACCATAATCATCATCATCATCATCATCAACATCATTATCGCCGGGACACCATTTCCATCAACATCATCATCACCAACATCATCGGAATCATCATCATCATCATCATCATCATCATCATCGGGACACCATCATCGTCATCATCATCAACATAATCATCATGAGCATCATCATCCTCATCATCGGGACACTATCATCATCATCGACACCATCATCAACATCATCATCATCATCGGGACACCATCATCATCATCATCATCTCATCATCATCATCATCATCATCATCATCATCATCATCATCATCATCATCATCATCATCATCATCATCATCATCATCATCATCATCATCATCATCATCATCTCGCGGGACACCGCGGGACACCGGCGGGACACCGCGGGACACCGCGGGACACCGCGGGACACCGCGGGACACCGGCGGGACACCGCGGGGCCCCGGCCGCCCGGAAGGGAATCATTTGGTCCGGCCGCGCCTCAGCCACACGGGACACCAGCGGGACACCGGCGGGACACCGCGGGGCCCCGGCCGCCCGGAAGGGAATCATTTGGTCCGGCCGCGCCTCAGCCACAGGAGACTTTCTCTCGCCCGCCCACGCAGCTTCGCCTCGCCCGCACGGCACGCACGAACACGAAACCGAAATCGATTTCCCGGTAGGGGGGCTCGCCGTTCCACTTCGATCTCACCCCCTCACCTCCGACTTAAGTGGGCAGGTACGAGCACACTGGGCCTAGAGCATACCAAAACGAGCTTAACAGTTTACCGCATAGACCACCCTTCGGGTGATAAGGAGGCGAGGGGGGGGGGACCACCGTCGCACTCGATCGATCTCACTATCGATCTCGCTATCGATCTCATTATCGATCTCATTCGATCAATCTCACAATCGATCTGGCTATCGATCTCACACTCGATCTCACTAACGATCTCACTATCGATATCACAATCGATCTCCCAATAGATCTCACAATCGATCTGGCTATCGATCTCACGATCGATCTCACATTCGGTCTCACGATCGATCTCACTACCGATATCACTATCGATCTCATTCGATCGATCTCACAATCGATCTCACAATCGATCTCACATTCGGTCTCACTATCGATCTCACTATCGATATCACAATCGATCTCACAATCGATCTCACAATCGATCTGACTATCGATCTCACTATCGAACTCACTATCGAAGTCATGATCGACCTCTCGTTCGATCTCACTATCGATCTCACTATCGATATCACAATCAATATCACAATCGATCTCACATTCGGTCTCACTATCGATCTCACTATCGAACTCACTATCGATCTCACTATCGATCTCACATTGGGTCTCACTATCGACCTCACTATCGATATCACAATCGATCTCACAATCGATCTCACATTCGGTCTCACTATCGATCTCACTACCGAACTCACCATCATCACCACCATCATCATCACCATCATCATCATCGTTGCCAACATCATCATCATCGTCATCATCATCATCATCATTATCATCATCATCATCATCATCATCATCATCATCATCACCGACAGGACACCGACGGGACACCGGCGGGACACCGCGGGGCCTCGGCCGCCCGGAAGGGAATCATTTGGTCCGGCCGCGCCTCAGCCACACGGGACACCAGCGGGACACCGGCGGGACACCGCGGGGCCCCGGCCGCCCGGAAGGGAATCATTTGGTCCGGCCGTGCCTCAGCCACAGGAGACTTTCTCTCGCCCGCCCACGCAGCTTCGCCTCGCCCGCACGCACGGCACGCACGATCACGAAACCGAAATCGATTCCCCGGTAGGGGGGCTCTCCGTTCCACTTCGATCTCACCCCCTCACCTCCGATATAAAAATCATTTGCAAATAGAAGATTAACCTAATCATACAAATAAAGCAACATGTCTGTCATAATATCCAGAACGGGTAATATCGAGACGTGGCCCAACGCTGATGCGATTCTTCGTTCGGTCATCGTGCTGCGCCGGGCCAAGCGGGGCAAAAAACACCCAATGCATGCCCCGAGGGCCAT